TTGGCTTAAGCGAGGCCCTGAGCAGTGCTGAAACACCAGCTGTGGCCAATGCCCTGCCGCTGAGCAGCAGCACCACGCTGTGTGGCTCAGCTTGAGTAAGGGCACGTGGGGAGCGGCTCCGTGTGGCAGCTCCTGCTGTGCAACCCGATCAAAGTCCTGTGCTCATCGGGACACCCTCTCTGCCGCCAAACATACGCAGGCCTCAGCAGCTGGCTGCTTCTATATTCTGCAGCGGGCCACACTGCCGCAGTTGGCATTCACAGTTCAAAACGGCATCCCAATTGTGGCAGGCTATCTCCCGCTCTTCGCATGCCCCTCGCCAGTTTGAAGCATTAGCAGGCAAGCCAGTTCCCCCTGTTTCACAAGGCGTCACAGTGCTTTGACAAGGCGTACACAGGAGCATCGTGGAGAATGCCTTGTCAAAACATCCTCCCACTGCGTAGGCTGTAGGCGAGATGGGTTACACTGAACACATTGCAGTGCATATTCCATGTTAGTGTAGGAAGAATAGTCTGTCTTGGGTAATTTCTAGCAGAGCGGTAGTGCCTCTATTTATAGATTTATGACATTTCTGTACCACCAAATAGCCAAAGCAACCCAGGCGTTCCACGAAAACTAAAAATCTAAAATGCAACATTTAAGAACCCGATATAAAACCTTCAGCTGTTTAAAGCATAATAAACCCAGGGTAAAAAGCACCAGCAAGGAAAGATGTAACAACCCAATAAAAAAGTGAAAGATTGAAAGGCCTGAAAGGGTGGGCAGGGAAGGGCTTGGCTGGCCAGCAAAAAGACCACATGTATGCACCAGGTGAACCCCTTTGAGGAGCACATACCACAAGCATGGTGTCACCAACAAAAGGTCCTCTCCTTAATTGTACCTGCCTCCAAAGCCCTGATGTCGAGCCCTGCTGATGGGAATTGTAGTTCAATGCATCTGGAGGGTTTCAGATTGGGAAAGGCTGAGCTAGACCTCTAAATATTTATAGTGGCATGTGTTACATTTCAAATGTTTCAAAATTAGGAGACTGACTTAAAATAGTTTTTAAAAATTAATGCCAAGCCAATCTTTATTAAGCATTAGTCATGTTCTCAAGACATTGCTCCTATTTCTTTGTCCAAATAAATGGGTCTTGCTTGGCCAAATATTGTGCACCTCAGTGATATATGAGCTTGAAACAGTTGGAGGGGTATAGTTTTGAACGATTGAAAAGAAATGCTGCATTGCATGATGTCATCTGGCGTTTTTATGAAGCCAGTTTCAAAGGATTTCCTATTGTCAGCTGACTGCTCACAATATTTGAAGTGAGTATGTGCCTCATCAAAGTAATTAATCTTATTGAGCGACTGAGAAAACATATGGCTCCAGATGGTATCATGCAAACTCTTTGGCTTGTTTAATTCCTTTGAGACTATTCCCCCCTTCTCCCACCATGCATATTGCCCCATTGATATAATTGTATGTATCTCATCCTGCAGCATATCTTATAATCGGTCAAGTGCAAATGAGATAATGTCTCAGATTAAACTTTTATCTCATGGAATTGCAACAGTGTATTACTGCTTTCTCCCACCTCAGTGTTAGCTATTACTAAGGCAGTGAGAGGGTGGGGAGGGCTTTGGACACAGCTTTGGCCTTGGATGGGCTGTGCTTCAGTGTCAGAACACATGCTTTGCACGCAGAAGTTCCAAGTTTGAGCTCTGATATCTTCAGGTAGGGATGAAAAAATTCCTGCCTGAAACCCTGGAGAAATGCTGCCAGTCCATGCCAAGGATACAGTGGTACCTTGGCTCACGAACGCCTCAGTTCACGACCAAATCAGGTAGCAAACAAAAACTTCGTAAAAATTTTGACTCAGGTCGCGAACTCCACATTGAGTGGCAACTGTGATAGTGACATCTCCCCCCCCCAGTGTGCCCATGTTCACGCCCGTCTCCCCCCCCCCAGCACACCGGGATGATGGGCATGTGCAGGGATGACAGGTGCAATTGCAGTCATGCTGGGGGGCCGGGGAGATAGCCTCACTCATGCTTGGGGGTGGGGGGAGATGGCCGCAATCTTTGTTTTTCTTTGTCACTTTGCTTCACATTTTTCTGATTAAAAAAAAATAGTTACAGAACGGATTATTCTTATTTACATTGAACCTTATGGGGAGATTTAACTTGGCTCACAACCAATTTGGGTCATGACCAGAGTCCTGGAACGGATTAAGTTTGTGAGCCAAGGTACCACTGTACTGGTTTAGGTGTGCCGCAGTCTGAATCAGTATAAGACAGTTTCGTATACCGCTGTGTCCCCATGTGCTGTGCCCATTCCTGGAGAATGCAGAGATGGCCACAGTAGCATGTGATTTAGTTACAGCGCATGCTCTACATAGGCCCACCTTTGATAAGTGTTTAGAAATCTTTGGGCCAAATTCCTGCACCCAGGCTCTTAAAAAGGCCTGTATACAGAGAGAACATAAGGAAAGTCATGCAGGATCAGACCAAGGTGCATCTAGTCCAGCGCTCTCTTCAGACAGTGGCCAACCAGCTGCTGATGGGGTCCTACAAGCACAAGCTGTCTGGAGGCTTGTGTACATACTGGCCAGGTTGGCATGTCATGAGAAGCCATGGTGATTTCTTACACTTGTCCTGTTGTCCAAACCCTGTTGTGCTGTTTCTACATGGTATGGTTGGTTTCCCCAAACCACGAAGAGAAGCTGTTGTCTGTCCTAAGGTTTCCATGCTTCACTGCAGCTTCTGTAGTCGTCTGGGCACAGGATCACCATTTAGCCATTGCTGGTTTGGAAACACTATAGAATCCCATGGAAAGAGCAGTGGCAGAAGCAGTCACTCAGCCATTTCTTCTCTACTACCCTCAACTTCTCTACTACCCTAGCAACACACACATCAGCTGTATTCACATATAATGACCAGCCATGGCAGGAATGGCCTGTCATTATGTATGAGTTCAGCAAGCATGCTGAAGCATGGCCATTCGATTACCTTGAAACCCCATGGAGAATTACTGGTTTGTTGTAAGGTTTCCACATTTGAGCATTGCTTGTCATTATGTGTGAATCCAGCCTGTTTTTTTGCTGTCCAGTTCTGCCTAGCAACTGCTGAGGTAGCCACAGCCATACTCTGATTGGCTGCCTCATGCTGCGTTTTCCTTCTCTCTGTGTGCTGCCTTCCTAATTCCCAGCTGCAGTTCTGGAATAGCAGCAGGGCATTGTACCACCCCATCCTCAACAGCAGCAATCGCGGAGGCAGCCATGCTTGACACTCCAGTCTGGTCACTTTACCGGAGCAGCACTTTGAAAAGGCTGAATGTTTGCTCAACTCGGGCACCCAACTGTTTCCTCTTCTGAAGGCAGCTTTACACACAAGAGGAACACACTGGCTGTGCACAGGCATCCTCATCAGGACGATCCCCCTGCAGAAGCCCAGGTCTCCCACTCTTTTGCCTTGCCCTCTGCTCCTATCTTGTCCCAAGCATTTCTGAGTGCTGTCAACAAGCCCTGCTGCCCCTCACCGCCTCCCCACACCTGCAGGACAAACACCTTCCTTGTGGCCGGCCAGCAAGCTTCCCCGTGCAGATGCCCACACATGCTCCTCTGAGAAGGTCATTCTGGCGACACACTCCCTCTCTACCTGGCATAGCCTGCCCACAAAGAAGCACTCAGCGTGACTGGCTGCAAAGGGAGGTGGCCTCTGGTGGCACATCCGAGTCATATAGCCATATGTATCCACTCCCCACACCATATAGCAGTGTGGGGAGTGGATACATGTGGTGAGCAAGGGGTAGAGGTGGGTGTGTAGGAGGGTGTGCTTGAAGGTGGAGTCAGAGCAGGGCCATTCCTGCAGTGCTTCTCTGGAGCAACAGTGCTACTCCAGTGAATGGGCAGTTGCTTCACAGAGCAGCAGAAAAGCAACCACAAAAAGGCAGCTTGCTGAGGAATATGTGGACCCATACTCCTCAGAGAGGCATGTGGGGTGGGTAGCAGTGGTGCATGTTGGGATTGATTTTCAGCCATGGGGGCTGATGGGATACTAGCTGCCGTTGGGAGGGAATATGGCAGTATGTAGAAATGACTCATGCTTAGTTACCTTGTGAATGTGAGTACAGGACACAGAAAGAAAGGTAGCCTTGTTGTATTACTTAGTGTTAAGTGTGAACAACCCCATAATCACTTGCTTTATTCATATTTGCTAAGCAAGGATCCCATCTCCCTGTTTACTTTTGGAAACAGGAGAAAGTGGATAAACAGAAGGAGGGAGAAGGAGGAATCATGGCAAAATTATTATGATTTAATAAAAATTCATTTGGGAGCTGGAATGGCTAGGAATCATTGCAGGCATGTGGGCATACTTGGAAGGGAAAGAGGGAGAACTCACCTCAAAACCTCAGTGGACCAGTTAGGTCAAGGTTGCTGAGGTCCACAGGGAGCAAAAGAACTAAGACGGAAGTATTGCTCAAGGGGGCTGATGGGTTCTGTGGTAAGAGCAGGCAGATGGAGCAGGGAGCAAAGAAACTGCATGGGGTTGTTTGGTAAGTTTGGGCAAAAGTTCACATGTCCCAGAAAGAGTGTATGCAATGAGTATCCACTGTGAATGAACTGTCATTCCTCCATCCTTCCCCTTGACAGAGGGGCTACAAAAATAGCCCACTGCTGCATATCACAGTGATGGTGCCGCCATTAGAGAAAATGGTGCTCTCCCATTTGGGAGCTCTGATTCATAGAACTGTGGTAGCCACTGGAGAGAAAGGTGACCTTTCTGGAGAGAGGCTATATGCCAACTTCCCCCTGCTCAGATCTTGCACTACAACTCCTGCCATCCTCAGCCAGCACTCCAAGAACAAACTTGGCTGGGGATCATGGGAGTTGTAGTCTGGTGTGCTTGGACGACACCAAGCACACCAGGTTGGGGAAGCCTGCTGTGGGCATTTAAAGTGAATACTGAGCAGAATGTAATGTGAGTAAATATGTTGACATCAGCACGTTTCAACTTTTTCAGGCTTGTCTCGAGCTGGTAATAATTTCAAAAGCAAGGGACAGAAGGAAAAAACACCACTGATGAGCCAGAGGAGAACCAATGGGCTATGGGAATGAAACTGTGACCGAGAGCTTCTGTACATCTCACCCCAGGGTACGTGTGATCAGTTTCTTCCATTGTGGTATTTCTGTATGTGAAGCAGACAATGCAGAAGATGCATTCAGCTTGTGCAGGACAAGATTCAATTTCAGTACTAATGTCCCGGTCACTATTAGTATTAGTAATGCCATTGTTTCTGGCAGTCTTCAACTGTGCTGCAGTACAGGGGGATTGCTGAAAGCCCCTGAGCTAAACTTGGCTGTGCAGAATCTGATCTGGCCTTGTAATAGCCAATGGGAGGCAAAAAGGTGTAGAGAATGTCTTGGGCAATGGAACACACTGGCAGACCCCATCCAGAAATGAGTAGATGCTGGTAGTTCAGTGTGGTAGAGTGGTTCACAAACCATGTTGCTGGGTTCAGACAACACAGCAAGCCACCCCTGGCTTATAAGCCACCATGGCTTTCATATTGTGTGAACCTAGCCACTGAGTTAAATGGGGCTTACTTTCATTTAATTGCCCTTAATGCCAGGTAAGGTCATAGAGGACTGCAGTTTCTCCACAGCAACAAGCCATCAGGAAGAATTAACTAAGGACTAAATTAGTTACTATTGCTATGTTTTGAGTAGAATCAGTGATGTGATTACTGCTTAGTTTAAGATTAAAGAGCCCTTGGATAAACAGAAGCCATAGAGAAGGGCCACCCAGATGGCACACAGTTTGAAGGCCCCTGAATCCTAGCAGGCCACTGGAGAGCAATCCCTGAATGAAACATCCTCCAATGCTCTGGGACTCTTGAAAACAGGCATTCCTGTAAAAAGAGATATATAGTCCATCATGCACAGGTAAAAGCATCTACACTCCAAACGATGAACATGTACAGTGGGGGACAATAATAAAGAAATGTTGCCCGAATAAGTGCAAAATGCTGTCATCAGCATCTTTTCAGAATTGACCATCGATTCTGGAAGATTTGCTGAGACTCTTGAAATAAATACAGTACTCGCATTTTCCTGGAGCTGGCATGTACTCAGGCCAAATGGCTGCATTTTAAATTCAGCCCACTGTGAAATAGATGCTACTGTGCACAGGACAACTCAGAGAAGTTATTGCACCGTTTCCTTGTACAGATTTTATGCCATGACTGAAGAGCAGCTACTGAAAAATAGGTAGAATAAACTTCGACATTATTGCTCTTGTTGATTTCATTTCTATATTGCTCAATAGTTGATGCTTTCTTGGTGGTTCGCAATAGCCAAAGTTCTTTGTCACTCCTTTTGAGATTTTTTTTAAGGTTCAAAATAATGCCTTGAGAGCTGCAGTGATATCTTACAGGTTTATTAGGATGCTGTTTATTAGTTGATAGCTAATGGATCTTGTCCATAAACACTATGCAGGAATGCAGTGATCCAGCATGTGCTCACATTTTCCCCCCCTTCAGAGCAAACAAGCTAGGAAGGATCTGAGTTATTTTACTTCCAAGAATGTTGTTGACATCCCACATTTCTCCCTCAAGGTAATTACCTCAGTGTAATGAGACTGGGGGCCAAAGCAGACCTTGCTCTATACCAGTGTCTAGCAGCTGCACCTTTAAAAATGTGTAACTGGGTGCAACTGGATAGTGATCCTACATGAGGAGAGCTATGGAGCTTTTAAGATTGAGAATAGGGCCACTGTGTCTAATCTAGAGTAAAAAATAATTTAAAAAGAGAGTGAGTTTCTAGACATTTAAAATAACATCTGGTTTTGCCCTAAAATATGTAAGGAAGGGATGCTTTCAGAATGTTTCCTAGCCTGAGTCAGACAGTGACTTCTGCCATTCTTCCTTCAAAGCTTGGACTGTGGGCAGTAGCTTAGACATGTGACTATGAGCAATACAGATTCTTTGTCTACAAAGCACTAACCTGTCCTAAATATCAATTCAAGCATAGACAGTTGACAAATATGGAAAGCAGAGATATTGGTGAAGAATCTAAAGGGCAGTTGGCAAAGATCTATCTATAGTTTGATTTGTGATCATAATAATGGTAGGCCAAAATATAGTTTTGAGTTACTGATTACAGAACAAGACTGGCTTGATTTATATCAGTCTATTAAGCATCTATCTGTATGTTTCTCAGTGTATCAAATACAAAATAAAGTTTTTCTTAATGCTATGTAACTCTAGGATCTTCTCTGTCTGCAAAGGACCCAGAACAGAGATATATCTGATGTGGTTGGGGGCAACTATGTATATGACATCTAGTATCATCGGTCAATATTGTGTGGTATATAATGTATGGTAGGACACACAATTTGTTGAAATTCTTTATTGATCCTACTCAGTGTGATAGAGACTAGTGTGTCAAGATGAATATGGTTATTCAACTGTTGTTTCCAGCTGCTTGTTGTTAATATTGCACGAGCAAGTTATTGGGAAAAATGTGGTCTTCTGTTGATGTTGATGACAGAAAGGGATAAACTACTGAAGTCTAAGGGAGACAGAGGGAGCAGCAAGTATATTCTCTAGCAGATATATGGGAAGCTTTTGTTATATAGGGTTTACATATTTCTGTAAATATTAATGTTTTCATATTTTGTACTTTGTCCCCTTCTTTAGTCTCTTCCTTTTCTTTATTTTCTCCTTATGTGAAATTGTTATATGTTGCAATGATTTTATACAAAATATTTTCTTAAGAAAGCTTGACAAAGGAAGAAGGAAGATATCCAGCTTTTCCAAAGCTGAACCTGCCTTTATGCCTCCAAGGCTATGATTGACTATGTTCTCTTGCAGTTCTTCATGCTTGCAATTCAGTCCTTCCAATCTGCTCTTTCTCCCTTCAGACTGCAACTCATAAGCTACCTCTTCCTGGAGCCTTTAATGTAACCCCATAGCATCTGAAACAAAATCAGACATAGCAAGTTCAGTCAAATCTACTCCCTGTGTTTAGAACTGTAGCCGTGGTAGATGTAGATTTGTGCATTTTCATTCCTTGGTTTCCTTTGCTACTGTCTTTTTCCTGTCATTAACCATCCACTAAAATTTAGATTGAAAACTCTGCAGGACAGGATTGCACTTGTTTGGGTTGTTCACACAGAGATGCAAGTTAGGTCATCTATAGCTAGGCTGCCCACTTATGAATTGCCCGAAAAGGAAACCACTCAGAAATGAGAACAGTCACCTGTACATTTGCACAGGCTAATTTATATGTAGGGATGCAGATTTAAGAATGGGCATAATTTAAATACAAACACAATATTATTGCTCTTAATTATATTTCTACACTGCCCAATAGCCGAAGCTCTCACCATAGTGTGGAAGATGGTGACCAGGTGTTCACTGTGCCTGACTTGTTTATCCTGTTGCCCAGGGCCAACTGTTCATGGACAAGAGTTGGAAAGTCCTAAAAAGAGAGGACTTTCCTCTGTAGAAGAAAGCAAATGACTGAAGTTGTTGGCAAGCTAGACTTCCTCCTTCAAGCTCTGATGGGTCTCCAGGTTTTTCCTGAACATTGGCCAGCATTCATAATGATACCACTATGTTTTTACACAATATGCGCAATGTTCAATTGGCCCAAAAGGACAGCTCAGTACCGAGCATGGTCCACATTGAGTAACTGTGCTTGCATTTATCTTGCACTAGAAAGGCTCACTCAAACAAGTCTGAGGTCACCTCCTGTTCCTGTTCCAAAATCAGAGCTCCTATATGCCCCAAGGCACCTCAGTGAAATAAATTAATATACTGATATATATCAACAGCCACACTAAATGCTTAACTTCAGAAATATTTTTAACATAGTCTGGTCTAATTTTAAGGGCACAGAATATAAACCTTACCACAGACAGGGTGGCATACCTATTGGTGCCAGTCAAAGTTAGAAATCATGTCAGCAACAAGGGAACCTGTTCAGTAAAGGTAATATAAACTTGCTCTTACAGAAGAATATGGATGACAGCTGAATAGAAAATGTGGTAAAATTTCAGTCACACCTCTATCATAAGGGCAGGGTCTCTGCGGGCAACTAATATTCTCACAGCAACCTAACAGTTCTGCAAGTGGTAAAGCGTTTACTCTAGCCAAGAAAAAGACTTGGCAGAAACATGGGACTATTATAGAATTAAAATAGTTCAACAGTACAGGAAAAAGAGGTGCTGAGAAACCTCCCCAAAAGAAGGGAGCAACGTCTCCTAGCCTCTAAATTAATAGCCTCCTGGTCTCATCTCCTCAACATTTTCAAAGCCCCCTTTAAACATTAGAAATATCAGTAGGAAGGGCTGATGAAGATTAAGCGGGGTGATACCCTTGAAAACATTCTCTTCATAGCCTGCCTTCTTTAAACTGTAGCCTCAGAATGACTTCCTTCATGTAGCCCCATCTCCTCCATCCCTGGTGACTGCTTCTTCCTCTTTTCACAGAACCTACTTTGTATTTCTGAAGTAAAATGAGTGAGGTTGCAACTATGGTTTTACACACACAAGCACGCATGCACACAATTTCCCTTCCACAGCAGGAGGATATGTTAAATGATGCCATTAATTCTTCATGAGACAAATAATGAAGGGCTTAGTTGCAGAAGTTTGGCCGTCCCCAGAGGAGATTTTACCATGCACATGTATCAACAAAGCCAATGCGGCAATATGAAATGTTCTGCTGTTAATTCTTTTGCCACTATTCTTACTAATATTTAGTGTCTTGGCCTCAAAGTGTTATTTACATTCAGAAGCTGATCAGAGAGAAGGAATCTGAGACATAGTGAGTCTAGAGAATGAAACAGTTAAAACTATAGAATTTGCTGCCATAGGAAGTGGTGATGGCCACCATCTTGGAAGACTTTGAATGGGAATTAGACAGATTCTTGGAGGAGGTGGCTATCAGTGGCTACTAGCCTTGCTGGCTATGTGCTGCGTCCTTTACCAGAGGTGACATGTTCAGGAAGGAGTTCAGGCAGGCAGAAGTCTTGCACCCATCCTGCTTGAGGGATCCTATGCTTAGCTGGTTTGCCACCAGGTGTGCAGAGTGCAAGACTAGATGGACATTTGGTCTGATACAGCATGGCTTTTCATATGTTCTTTAA